CGATATTTGGGTCAGGGTGGGAATGAGCTCTATTATGGGTGGTTAATAGTTAATAGTTTATCCCTGGGCATGGGGTGGGTAGGTTGGGGGGAGGGTTAATCTTGTAATCCACCCAGAGTCACCTGTGTGAGATGGGTAACTATATAAATGATATAAATTGTGGTGATAAATATAAATCTCTTCTCTTCTCTTTTTATAAATTTTAATTATGTATTTATTTTTAATTGTTGTAAACCACCCAGAGTCCCCCATTGGGGAGAGATGGGCGGGGACAAGTCTGCTAAATAAAAATGCTAAATAAAAATAATGCTAAATAAAAATATAAATACATAAACAAACTCCAACTTGTAGCAATCACTTTTGCCCCAATTCCCTAGCACCTTCAACCCATAGAACAATTCTTTGTTCCCTGATAGCTGACTTGTTTCTTCTTCTACCTTCTGAAAAATGGAATGATCAGCAAGAGGGTTTAGAAATCTGTTGGGATCTCCAACTCTTAGCTGGGTTAAGTCTTCCAGCAAATAATAGGACAGTCGATGCCTCCATTTGCCTATATAACATCCTCCTGAGATTTTGGTGAGATGATTGAGAAAGGCAGGTCCTTTGCTTGGGCAGAAGGCCTAGAAGTACTAGGATGGCATCACCACTCTTTCTTCCTCCTTTTAACCTTTCCTAGATGGTTCCAACAGGACTTTTATGTCATGGATGGGGAAAATGGAGCACAACACTGAGATACAAAACAGAAGGGTAGATGGCCTGTTGAGAAGTCCCTGTTTTTGTTGGGTTTATCTCAGTGACCACTGTTGGTTTTTTTTTTTTTTGCTTTTTTAATGGTTTTGTGTTATTAGCCATCTAGAGTCACATTCGTGAGATAGGCAACCATATAAATCAACCAAATAAATACATAAACTAACCCACCCCAAGGGTTAGTTAGTTAGTTAGTTAGACATTAATATCAGTCCCTTGCCATGGACAGATCATGCCCTCTTGGCCATGGAATTCTGACTGCATGGAGATAGAGTCTATTTGATTGGCCCACCCAGGCAATTGATGGACCCAATGCAGTTTCAGAGGGAATTCTTCCTGAAGCTCTGGCACATGGTTCAGCTGAGGCCTTGGGTGGTTTGGAATGAACACACTGCAGGAGCCTTGGAGCAAATTTCACCTGTGCAGATTCTCTGTGATTGTGGATCCCACAGAGCTCCTTCGTTCATCATGGAGCTTCAAGAGATGAAGCAGCAAAAGAGATACCTAGAGTACCACTGGCAAAGGACAAAGAGTGAAAACAACCAAACCCAGGTTAGAGACTTCATTAGGACTTACCTTGTGGCAATAAGAGCAGTAAAACAAGCTGTTTTCCACTCTTACTGTGGCCTCAGACAGCTGGTCATCATCCCTATTTTGGGTGACCAGGTCTCTTCCAGATAAGGAGGAGCTGTGGGAGCCCTTGCAGGGCCACTGTGAGGAATATTCTGAGTTTGCCAGTCACTGAACTTTGCTTAGAGTTGGAGTCCAGCTGGGCAGATCCTATGGAAGTGCCCAAGGCTCATCCGAGTTCAGTTATCTGGGAAGAATTTCAACTGGTCTATCCTGAGGAAGTGGACAGGATCTTCATGGCTGTGAGTTTGGCCATCTGTGCTCTGGACCTGTGCCCTGCCTGGTTACGGCCTCCCAAGAAGTGGTATGAGATTGGGTCCAAATAGTGGTTAATGGCTCCTTGCTGGATGGGGTCCTGCCTTGAGGGAGGTGGTAGTGCACCCCCTTCCTAAGATGCACTCCTTGGACCCAACAGCGCTTGACAACTTGTCTCCAGTCTCCAACCTTCCCCTTCTAGGGGAGTTTGTAGAGAAGGTGGTAGGCAGTCAGCTTCAGAGGGCTCCAGCTGGTCCAGAATGCGGCCACGCAAGCAATTTTTGGGGCCCAAAGGACCCATATAACACCTTTGCTCCGTAAGCTGCATTGGGTACCGGTTTGCTTCCAGGTCCAATTCAAGGTGTTGGTTATCACCTTTAAAGCCCTACATGGCATGGGGCCAGGTTACCTGAAGGACCACCTTGCCCCCACGCTCTCAACCCGTTCCACCCGATCTCACAGAGAGGGCATGCTTTGGATCCCCGTGGTAAAAGAACTTCGTTTAGTGGGATCCAGAAGGCGAGCCTTCTCTGCTGTGGCCCCCGCCCTCTGGAACATCTTGCCCCCGGAGGTGAAACAGGCCCCCTCACTCCAGGCCTTGTGGAGGGATTGGAAGACCTGGCTCTGCCATCTGGCCTGGGGCGGGGGGGGAGGATATCAGAAATGGGGTT